TATCAGATTGAATTAAGTCAATCATTCTTGTGACCTAATAAAAAGAAATGTGCTCTTAGCAGTTATCCTGTGAAATTTACCAAATATAGCCCTCGAAGATGCTGTTATCACAGCAGTTAATGAACTGAACATTCCAAATTAACACTTTGCTAAAAAAAATTATTAAAATTTTCTGGTTCGATTATCAATTATTAAAATTTTAGGCATTTTACATTTGCTTTAGAGTGTTATCAGCAAACGAAGTTCTTATCCGCGCTGAAGCCATTTAGTTCGTCGATGCTAAAGGCCTCAAGAAAAACACGATCTGATTTTCTTACGTTCATCAGAACAGTACCTACCAAATAGGTTTTGTATTTTGTGAACATAGATTTGCGTATACATATGTATTTCTGTGTGTATATGTATATATGAACATATTAAATATGCACTAACCAGTTGTTACGTGAAATTACCAAATATAGACGGCGAATATACTGTAATCACAACTATCAATTAATTTTGTTTGAAAGGCAGTGAATATTTCGAAAATTACACTTCCATAAAAAATCGTTAGCGATTTTTATTTGTTTGCTGACTATTTTATAGATTTTTTATTCGGGCAAGAATGGTTTTAGCAGCAAACCGGGTTCGAACTTTGGTTGAAGCTATTTGGTTCTTTCTCTCCTTAAGAATTCGCCAAGACTTTCTTTTAGTCTGGCGCAATGTTTCGGTAATGCGTTCTAAGGGGTTCTGACAATAGAAATATGGCTTCTTCTTCACTTCAAGACTAGAGATATATTCCTTAACAATATAGTAATGAGTAACTGGAATAAAGGAAAACAGAAAGAAATTACTAAAGGGTAGAATACGAATTATACCAGTTCTTTGTGTCGTCCTCCTTAAGAACTTAGGCGATCATAACTCACTACAAACTCTTGTCCTTTGTGGCTATTATAATAGTTTGTATTTTTGTGATTTTCCCTAAATATTTCCTGTCATCTCTTTACTCTAGCTTGCCTGGTATTTATACATCGTTTTTCATCTATTCCGTTTGTCTTCAATCTGTCATATGAGTATTACACTTTCCAATCCCACGTTCCTCATTTTGTGCCCTAGAAATTTCAACTGTCTCTTCCTGTTGCTATGAAAATTTTGCATCCATTTTCTCCAAAACTTCGTCTTTGCTCAAACGTACAGTTCATATTTTTCTCAGCATCCTACTGTAGAACCCCTTTCTATTTCCTCAAGTCTAGTCTTCATCTGTGAGGAGATTGTCCGACATTTACTACCGTATAGGAGGACTACTTTAAGTAACAATTTAGCTCTCTTTTTTGTGTCTAACTTTTGTGACCCGTATCGTGTGGCCGTTAATGACAAAACAGAACTTAAAACTTCAATGTTACATAAACAGTATTTAATTACACTGCAAATAGATAAGTAACTCAAGCCAAAGAAGTAATAGCAAACCAAGCTTGTTAATAAATTCAGTGAATACCTTCTTAGAAGCGCGGCTCATTTAACGTCCAGGAGTTACTCAGTAATCACTCAACAATCAACCGGTAATCCACCTGTCGTCAAATGGTAAAGATCAACTCGAAGCTCACTGTCGTCAGTAGCCGGAAACCGCTATTTATACACCTGGCGGAAAACATATTCATAAGATCAGAGTGCCACGCTCGAACCTCGCTGTCGGTAGTTACTCATTTTCTTTCTATATGACAGTTAACATACTAATGTAACTGCCTATTGATGAGATTTTGCTAAACAGGTAGATTGGACGAAGAGTTTTAGTAAAATGCCCTTCACCTTCGCTAGTCTTCAGGCAGCGAGACGTTAATATTATGGGGAAAATTACAACAGTTGACGGTATAACCAGCAAAAGTGAACGAAATGAGGACAGCTAGTGTAGGAAAAGGTGTACAAATACCGGACGAATACAGCGTATAACTTAGCTAGAGAGCTTGAATAAATGGATGGTAGAGAAAGGTCCAGGAGAAATAAGAAAAAAGACTAAATTTATTAGGAGCTATAAAGGACAAGAAATTGGGGAGAGCCATGTTCACCTACGTCCTGAATGGACACAGCACATAGAAGAAGAAAAACACGGTAAGATGTGGCGAAGCTGCACACTTGCTTTCAGAAACTGCTTGGAGCGATGAAACTATCTTAAATGGCTTCATTAGTCCCTATATTTGTACCTACTGGGGACCTCAACATCCATATGCGATGGAAGGAAATCATGTTAAGTTCTCAATACTTAAATTGTAGCGCGGATTATCATCAAAGAGATTATATTGATCATGCTTTTTTGATGTGACATTAACTGATACCGTTTTCTTGAATCTGCCGGGATGATCATGCAAAGCACTCAAGACTATTTTGAAGATAAGGAATTTTATTTGCAACAAGAGAGGACATCCTTACGTTACTTTTGCGACCCGTATCGGGTGGCCGTTAATGATAAACTAGAACTCAAGACTCCAATGTTAAATAAAACAGTATTTAATTACAATGCAAATAAATACGTAACTCAATCCAAAGAAGTTACAGTAAATCAAATTTGTTAACAAAATCAGTGAATACCTACTTAGAAACGCGGCTCGCTTAACGTCGAAGAGTCACTCAATAATCGCTCAACAATCAACAGGTAAACCACCAATAATAAACTCTTAGTCCACCACAGTAAGTAGCCTGACACCGCTATTTATACACCTGGCGGAAAACATTCATAAGTTTGTTTGTTTTGTTTCACGGCATATCAACACCTCAATGGGTCATTTAATGCTGACAACTTCTTTTTTTTTACCTGGTAATATTTTTGTTTTGGCAAAAATCCATTCCTGTTAATATTTTTTTTCTCAAAAATGTACAGCTGGTAACATTTTTTCAAAAACGTATAACTGGTAATATTATTTTTCCCAAAAAAGGTATAACTGGTAATATCATTTTTCCCAAAAAGGTATCACTGGTAATATTATTTTTCCAAAAAAACGTATAACTGGTAATATTATTTTTTCCTTCTTTCAAATACATACAGCTGGCAACATTATTCTTTCAAAAACGTATTATCAGAGGCCTTGCCGTTGGACGTATTTCAAATAGGACGCATATATTCGTGCCGTCGCAAAAGATTCTGTAAAAATGGACAGTTCTTCGTGTCGCTTCAGAAAATACCTCTCTCCCGAGGTAATACTCTATATTTCAAAGAGTCAGATCATACCAAGTATGGAGTATTGCTACTATATCTCAGCTGGTTTTACTTATTCATCACTGGGTAGACTTGACAGATTCAAAAGCGATCACGCTGCCTTGTGGGTGATGAATTGCTCCCCACTCTGCAACCCTCATGCCAAATAATACACCTTGCTAACCTCTTGCTACTCTAGCTCTGTTACTATGACAGATGATCTAACGAGGTCAGTTTCATTAGTTCAGTTCTTCACAGCTAGGACCTTGCATGCCGTTTTCACGGTGGCAAATATTCATTCCATAAGTTTTCGTTTGTTAAGGAGTACCTTCCACTCGGACATCTTCTTCATCAGAACTGTTATTGTTGGATTAAACTCCTGTCAGAATGCTCTCCTGACAGGTACAATCTCTTCAAATCCAGTATCAACACATATATATCTTACACCTCATCAGTATGTGCACTATTTAATCCCTTGTTCCTCCTAAGCTTACGATAATCCTTTACTATGAACGGCGCTTAGGGCTTGTATTTATTCAACTCACAGTATTAAAAATTTATGTCTTAAAACTTTTGAAAATTTAACTGACAATATTGCTCTAGATATTGTTATGTAGTGGGAAACCTTCACTTCTACATAAAAGCTAGTGATTAGTAAAGAAGAGAACTGTCATCTTATGAGATGGGAAGGTCTAATTTCCTTTTGACATATCTATATAAGAGTAAACACATTCAGAAAGATGGAGAATACAACGACCGAAATATTTCTTATAAAGCAAAAAAAAAAGGATGAAAGTAACAGATCCCAATGTATTAACGTGAACTTGTGCATGCTGACCCTGATTTTCATTGTCAATTTTACTTTTATCCACTTTGATTTCTCATGATTTTCGTTGATTTTGTATCATTGTAGGCTTCTCACATCTATCTATCTATCTATCTATCTATCTATCCCTGTTCATATCTATCTATCTATCTATCTATCCCTGTTCATATCTATCTATATATCTATGCCTGTTCATATCTATCTATCTATCTATCCCTGTTCATATCTATCTATCTATCTATCTATACCTGTTCATATCTATCTATATATCTATGCCTGTTCATATCTATCTATCTATCTATACCTGTTCATATCTATCTATCTATCTATCCCTGTTCATATCTATCTATCTATCTATACCTGTTCATATCTATCTATATATCTATGCCTGTTCATATCTATCTATCTATCTATCTATCTATCTATCCCTGTTCATATCTATCTATATATCTATCTATGCCTGTTCATATCTATCTATATATCTATGCCTGTTCATATCTATCTATATATCTATCTATGCCTGTTCATATCTATCTATATATCTATGCCTGTTCATATCTATCTATCTATCTATCTATCTATCCCTGTTCATATCTATCTATCTATCTATCTATCTATCCCTGTTCATATCTATCTATCTATCTATCTATCCCTGTTCATATCTATCTATCTATCTATCTATCTATACCTGTTCATATCTATCTATCTATCTATTTTTTCTATCTATCTATCTATCTATCTATACCTGTTCATATCTATCTATATATCTATCTATACCTGTTCATATCTATCTATATATCTATGCCTGTTCATATCTATCTATCTATCTATCTATCTATCCCTGTTCATATCTATCTATCAATCTATCTATACCTGTTCATATCTATCTATATATCTATGCCTGTTCATATCTATCTATCTATCTATCTTTTTTTTTTTTTTTTTTTTTTTCACCACAAGCAAGGCGAGAAGCCACTAGGACGCAAGGGGTTACAAAAGAAAGGATGAGGAGAGGGATAGTGGGTAGATCAAGGTAACTTGAGGTGTCGATTGACATTACATTTGAATAGCTGGAGATTATAGCTCTCAGGGAAACTGGAATAGGGAAGGGAGTTCCACAGGCGAGAGGTGCGAGACATGAAGCTATTAGAGTAGAAGAGACGGCTACATTTAGGAGTTTCGACAGTGAAGGGGTGAGAGCGGGATGCCAGCCTCGTAGGGCGCTTGAACTCATGAAGTATGGGAAACAGCGAATGCAGCTCCTCGGAGCAATTGCCATGAAAGTATTTGTAAAACAGACAGAGATTCTTTGATTTTATCAAGAATCTCGAAATATAGAGCAAGTCGACAAGACCATATGTAGTGACAATATTCGAAACATGGACGAATAGTTGACTTATAAATATTTAAGAGATTCTGCAGATATCTTTATTATTTTTATTATTTAATTTAAAATCTGATACGTTTTTTTTTTAAATAATTTTGTAGAAACTGATATCTTCGGTGTAACACCGTGTTAAAAAGCGAATTTTAACACCGGAAGTCATTAAATTTAATTTCCGATATAAATCCTACCTGTATTCTTTCATATAATTTATACAACTTTCAGCCTCTTATTTTATATTTTATTGATTAACAACGTTTTTACTATCTCACACCATCTTCCTTTTTTTTTAACGGCAACACCAATGTTATCGGTAACTATTGTCCTCAATAAGGATTTTTGTGAGGAACCGTAGACATTGATACCTCGATAAGCGCAGTGTCCTCTGCTGACCAGTGGACGCTAGAATGCCCTGTCTTTACAAAACGTATCGCTCATAATAATTCATAGTCATGAACAATGATGTCTCTTGGTGATTTGTTGGCGAGTTCAACTTTGATCCACGCTGTTGATTATTGATATTCGATATATATCATTCCGCACGTGTTCTCTCATTCACGTGAAACTTTTCCAAGTTTCTGTAATATATGGGTCAGAATAATTGTTTCTGTTTCATTCGAGAGATCCTGACAGGCGACAAAAGGACAGTCGAAGCTTTTGGTAGAAAAAAGTAGAATGAAAAAAAGAGAGAGAGAGAGAGAGAGAGCGAACCTCAAGCAACTGAATGAAAAATTTCCTTCCAACTTATGATTAGCGCTTTCTCCATGCTTTTCTTAAGTGCCTCGACGGACACGTAATTTTCATTTCTGCGTCTAAAGAAAAAGTAGTCTATAGCTAGATATGATTCATGGGAAATAACTCTCTAAATGCAGAATTTTCTATATTATCAGGGTGATTGTTTAAATATCGGGAAAATCTCCTAATCGAAGGAAATTTGCAGATCGTATCCAAAATTTAATCAATTTTAATTTGTTTTATGTTCAACCCTTACAAAACTTATTTAATTGATTGAGAAATTTAGGATATTAAGTGCCTGACTTCGATTAAATTATCCTGGGGTGTTCAAATGCTTCGATTAATTTTCCACATTATTACACACTATTATTTTCATTCTAGGATATTACTTAAATTATACACCTTTTCTGTTTGATTACAAATATGGTTTTGCATTTGATTATCCCGGCCGCAAAAATTCATTATGGAATTCCTAGAATTGCTTTAGGTTTCCTACATTAATCTTGCCATAAAATGCTTTTCAGATCAGCATTGTTTGTACTTTTGAGTCGTTGCTGAATGCTAAACCACGGACAATGCACAGCTCATTATCTGTCCGTTTTACTCGGTTTATATCGATGATTCTTTGCTCAACAACCGCGATAGAATTTTATAGCTTCTGATAACGGATCAAGCAATTTATATCAGGTTTCGTAATATGGTTACCATCTTGCCTTCACGTCGATATGAATTTTATCCTATTAAATAGTGTTTTTTTTCATTTGATTCTTTTATTACACGCGGCGATGTTGGGGATGTGTTCAGGCTGACTGAAAAAAAAAACAAACTCAATCCTCATACTTCCAATAGACATTAATTCCTTTTTTACCACATTCTCATCCAAAATAGTCCCATTTGATTTCTCTCACTTTTTCAGTGAATTTATGTTTCCTTTTTAATTATTATCCACTTTGATTTCTTATGATTTTCGTTGATTTTGTATCATTGTCGGCTTCTCACATCTATCTATCTATCTATCTATCTATCTAAGCCTGTTCATATCTATCGATCTATCCCTCTGTCTAAGCTTGTTCATATCTATCTATCTATCTATCTATCTATCTGCCTGCTGCAAAACCATAATTCTAGCAACAGGACACTGCCCCATGCCACACAAGCAGGAGAACCAGTCACTGCTCTCAGACAATATCTACGACCACATCACTCTTTACATTTGGCCACCTAATTCTCCAGATTTGATTATTATGTGTGGGGCGCAGTTGATTGGAAGACGAGAAAAACTCATTGTAACACCAATAATGAACTGAAGGCAAGGATTATGACATTATTCACCAACTCAAACAAGGACATCCTACACAATGGATGCAGAAGATTTCGATGTCGTCTGCGGGCTGTGTTTAAAGGCAATGCCGATCTTATTGGAGACATTTATTCTTTATTATTTCACTTTATTTTTGTGTGATTCTGGTAAATATATCTGTTTAAATGAGATGTCAGTGTTATTTTCATTTTTGTCTAATATTGACGACAATATATGCATCGCACTAGGTGTGTGTAGGAAGGACACTTTTTTGTTTGTAACGTATGTTAAATCGCTTTCTTTATAAAGCATTTTCTAAATCACTTTGTCAGTAGATTTTTCTCTCAATTGTTCAGATTGGTATTGAGGACGATGTTGACTTGTTTGAAACACCCCACCACACATATGGATTACTCACCAGAGAGAACCATCCCTGCTTCCCATTAGAATGTCTGACGCTCAACTCCACGAGAGCACTTCTTTGCGAATGCTCGATCACATATTGTCCGCTGACCTGAGATGGAACGAATACATTGAGTCAATAGCTTCGTCCACCACTAGGAAAGTCGGCTCCCTGTGCTGTGCCAGGAAATTTTTCTTGCCGGAGTCAATCCTTCAAATCTGCAAATCAACCATTCGCCCTTGCATAGAGTATTGCTGCCATATATGGTCTGGAGCCCCTTCTAATTGTCTTAAGGTCCTTGATAAAATCCAAAGACGGATATGTTATGTAATTTGCCCTAATCTGGCATCTCGTCTGCAGTCGCTCTCTCACAGACATGCCATCGCCTCCCTCTGTCTTTTTTTACAAATACTTTCATGGTAACTGCTTCGATGAGCTGCTTTCGCTGATTCCCAGACTTTATGAATTTAAGCGTTCCACTAGGCTGGCATCTCGCTCTCACCCTTTCATTGTCGAAAATGTTAAATGTAGCCGTCTCTTCTTCTCCAATAGCTTCACGTCTCACACGTTTCGCCTGTGGAACTCCCTCCCCATTTCCTGATAGCTATAATTTCCAACTATTCAAATGTAACATCAATCGACGTCTCCAGATGCCTGATCTATCCCCTAACCTTCTCTTCATCCTTTCCTCTATCACTCCCCTTCGCTCTCGCTCCGACTCTCTTTTATCCCTTGCATGCTAGTGGCTTCCCGCCTTGCTTGTGGTTGAATGCTTAAAAAAAACAAAAACAAACGAGAAACTAAGAACTAAATAACATCATTCTTGAAATTTCAATCCTTAACAAAATGGTGGAAAATTGTCACAAGGTCGATGCATGGTATCGTTACCATGCTCATACGATACAGGTCGTTACTGTTTCTACTGTAACAACACCGTCTAGAGTAGCCATTTTTAATGCGTTTTGATGTTTAACTTATTTTAATTCCTCTCTGTACAAAATCTGCTTCTTCATCTGAAAAGGCCGCTTTCCTTTACCAAAGGATTGCCATCCATTTTAATATTATCTCATATTATTTGGCTGATCAAGCAATAATTATATTTATAGTCAGGTGTCTCTTTAAAATATGCTTGAGTCGTCTTTCTTCACTCTGTGATTTGTCTTGCATGTACCCCATTCGTTCAGGACGTGAACGATCATGGCACTCCACACGTTCTATTTTTTGTATCTCTCAGTGTAATTTGTCTATTTTGCTATATCTCCTAATCCCTGTTCTGTCGGCCAATTACACAATCTCGTTACATATGCCATGCGCTGCTTGCCGGTGTCCCCAAATTAATTATCCTACACCCCAACACTCTATCAGAAAAAAATTGAACACAAGAAAGTTATCCCTAAACACTAAGATCATTACCACAACTTCAAAGACCATCGATGATTTAGATTGCAATAAACACCACATCAGATGCCAGGATTTACATTATGAAATGTCTGCAATGGCACCATAGATATATCGGTGAAACAACAAAAATCTAAAGTCTACGAAGATAAAATGTCCCACGTTTGAATTCGTTGGTATCTAGCCACCCCCCACGAGGGTTGCATGTGGCACAAGGCCGAGTTTTTACGTGGGTTTCCCGATCCCGTAAGCTCGGCCAAAAAATGCCCGTATAACCCGTATAAACGAGATCGGGTTGGTCATTCTCCCCGAACGAGATTCTGCCCTTCGGCGGAACCTCGTCCGGGTTCCTTTCTGCTCAGAGGCAGAAAGTTCGACCGTCAAGTTTGAATTCGTTGGAAACCCACAGGAATAAGGCAAGCTATAAAGTCGATTTAATAAATGCCACACTGATAAGAAAAGAAAACACTTTATTACGTAGAATATACTTAGAAGTTATCCTGATAAATATTTCCCATGAATCATCACAGGCCAAATACGCATCATTATATCAACAACTTTTTATAAATTCCATATTGAAAGAATCTAAGATATATACACATTATACACTACAACCATTATCGGTGTAACATAAATTCTTTCACGCCCACATAAAACATCTTACAATGAACAACAGACAGAAATAAAAATGTCAACTAGACGTACAAACACGCAACGCACACACATTATCAATCGAATATCATATATATGAACTATAATTATGACACACAAACACACATGGCGTCCTA